CAATTCTCAAATTTCATCCAATTTACGACAGACATAATCCTCCCACATGCAATGATTTCTTTGGTGAATTAGTTTTTTTTTTGGTCTACTATTAATGATAGAGTATGTTTCTAGAGCAGCTTAACATGTTTTATACCTATGGGGCATGATGTTTTTTTTCTTCACCACAGGGCCTTGACATAATGTAATCAAGGTACTCTGATGAATTACTAACATCATGACATGTCTTAGTGAAAGTAGAAGAATATGTCAAGTCTCTACAATTTCTTATTATGAGTAAAAGGTACTCTCTGTACCAGTTCTTACCATGTGTGACTGTAATCCTCCTTGAGGCTGGCCTGCTTCCTGTTTTGCAGAGGCAAGCCAACTGGCAGCAGCATCTGCATTACTTACAGGCTGAAAGCAATTAAAGTTTTGTGAGAAATGGTCATATCAACATTTTCACTATCATGATTTAGGTCATGAAGTACTGACAAAAAAGTAAACATATTAAGTACTAAGCATCTAAAAATTTATTTACATCATGAAGTACTAACAAAAAAGTAAACATATTAAGTATTAAGCATCTAAAACTTTATTTAGATCATGAAGTACTAATAAAAAAGTAAACATATTAAGTACTAAGCATTTAAAACTTTATTTAGCTTATTTATTTTCAATTTTAAAACTTCCAGGGTTATGTGTGATAAACCCTTTTGCCATGATGCCAAAGTCTCTCACCATAAAATTTGTACTTACTGCTGCTGGTGCAGGTGCTTTGTTTGGTGCAGGTGCTGGTGCAGGTGCCTTAGCTGTGGCTGGTGCCTTAACAGGGGCTAGTGCAGGAGCTGGAGCTGGTGCAGGAGCAGTCGGGTGGGAGGGCTTCGGTGGTGGTGATTTCACTGCCCCTGCAGGAAGTGGTGGTAATTTGTCTTCAACAGTCAGTGTTGACAACATCTGAAAGATTAAATCAGCATTTATGTGATAACTGAGAGATATGCTAAGCATCTGTGATTTTCCAACATGAATCCACAAAACTCCAGAATGACATATGTAGAAAAATCAATTATACATGACAAAGATAGACTTTCTAAATTGAAAAAAAAGATAATTACTCAGCAAAATTGCACTTTTGTAGACACTTGCCTCTTGCATCTTTTGCTGCTCCTGTTTCTTCTCTCCCTCTAGCCGCACAGCCTCTGCCTTTGCAAAGTCTTCTGTCTGCTTTTTCTCTTCTTCTGACTGTTTCACTTCTGACTGCTTATCTGCTTGGCTAACATTTGAAAAGATTTGTTGATTTCATGATACACATCTATAACAATTCTATACTATGTTTAAAACAACGATGTAGCTTTTTAAATCACATTAAAGATCTCCCCTCTCTTTAACAACGGTTGAAAATTAGAACTTGAAAAGATTGAAAAGTATCCTGTTATGAATCTGAAAGTCAACAACAACAATTTAGCACAATTAACATTATGACTTTCATTACCATCTTTATACTTTATAACAATGTTAATCCATTGTTAGCATCCTAATCATTATTATTATCAATACTTTTTATCAATTCTCTTCTATTTTGCTACCACAAAGACAATGAAGTTACAAACAATGCTTCTCCACCAAAGGATTAGGCTCCAAAGTAAATGAATGCCAAAATCACCTTGCCACAGCTACAAATGCTTCATCAGGCTGAGGACCACTGGCTTGATTAGAGTAGATTTCTGGGACTGCACCTGTCTTCTTCAATAAGATTGCCAAAGCCTGTTCCTGCAGTTCTATGTTTTTCTTGGTCATCATCTTAACAAAAAACTTGTAGTCTTCTACAGCCAAAATAGGCTCAAAAGAGTTCTGTGGAAATAAACATATTAGGTTTAATTTTAGACGTTTTTTTTTTTTTTAAATACTGAAATTCCACACTTTCCAAATGAACGCATCATCACTGCCTCTGTACCTGACCATAAGATGATTTATATGCCAAGGTTTTTAACAACAGATCATTGAGATATTCAACATTTCTTTTGTTGTACCTTGAAAATCTCCCTCAGGTCTTCTTTCATGTTCAACTTCTGTACTGCTTTAACAATGTCACTCTGTGTCAGTCCAACATCTTCTCTGAAGCCATCCAACAAGACATCAATCTGTAATGTAACAATACATATCTGACAATTATGATCTTATAGTCTGTCAATATCATTTAAACCATTTTAGAATTAAATGGGCTAACATGCTTTAAAATTTTCTTCAGTAAGATTTTGATGTTAATCTTATTACTTAAATCAAATACAGCAATATACTATAATATTTTTTAACATAAATATGTGCCACAAGTCATTTATATCAGGGATTGCTGTATATGCACATGTATAATACTGCCTTATACAAATGTATTCATATGGTATCTATGAATGTACTTAATCATAGAGACATAAGTGAACAAAAAATCAATAAACTGTTCAACTTGGTATCTAATATCTTCCCTTTGAGAATCCTCATTAATCAGTGAAAGAGAGAAAGAGCTTTAAACAATGCATTTTGAACACATTCATCTCAGGAAACAAATTTTTGCTGTAACAATAGGTTCAATCAAACTGTCAGCAAATGATCTTATCGATATCCTGCAGCTCCCTGTAGTGATCATATATTGCAGTTCAAGGAACAATTTAAAGTGGAAGTTATGTGCTTCACCTTAAAAGCAACATGTATCACAGTTCAGTCATTTCACAATGCAATTCTCCTGTGTATTATCATCTTTTAATGTATACTTTTGTCCCTTCTATTTCTATTAAATTAAGAGAAAAAGATGAAATGTATTTGCTTCATTATTTTGAGAAATATGAAAACCAGAACAAACATTATGTAGACTCGAGATAAAGAAGTTACAAACAGTATCAATCTGACTGAATTGTTATGTAACTTCCAGTCACACTGTTTAAGCTTATCCTAACAGATGATATTTTGTTTTATCATGTTCTGTTTTTTACTGGTACTAACCCTCATTTCTTCAGTCACATTATTTACAAACATTAATCATCCTTCCAGTCACTTGACTAAATACCACATTTGGTGTCATTTTGTTGAGCCTATGTACCTGGTATATATACATGTTGAAAAAAAATATTTTTGCAAACATCATAACCAATCACTTTGATAACTAATTTAAACAAGGCAGCAAAGCTGTCAAATGTACAGACAAAAAACAGGAAATAACTATGCACAAAATAGGCTACTGTCAATTCTGATGCAAAAGTACATTNATCGGTAAAAGTGCACGGCGACGACGGCAACGACGGCGACGACAGACGCAGATGACGGCTATATGTACAGACACATCTGTGTCTGTACATAAAAAAAGGTGATCAAACTTACCAGCTGCTTAAAATCTCGAAAGCATTGTCTGTATTCTGCAGAATCCTCTGTTGAGGGTTCAAAAACTGAAAAGTCAAAAATTGCAGTTTTCAGTATGATGTATACAAGTGTTAATGGTTCAAGCTCTAGTTTGACAATGGCAATTTTAGTAATGAAATTAAGTAGATTGTAGGGGGAATTTTGATTTATAGCACACATTCTGATCATGGAGATATGCAATTATTCAGCCTCTGTACATCTGTTATCTACACTGTTACAATATCGATTGCTTCCTGTATAACTATATGTGTATTGCACATCAAATTAAACCTAGGAACCACTACTTTATCATTCCCCAAACAAAAGGTATAAAAAAGAGAAAATAATGGGACAAGAGAGGCATCTTTTTATCTTCAGATTCATAATTGGTTTCATACTTCTCAGAAAATCCTTGTTGTTCCAAAGAACCAATAACTCACTATCTTTAACAGTCTTTCAATCAGTCATGACTAGTAAGACTGACAGTTTTGCCATGTCTGCATTTTGGGTACTTTGAAACTGCTGGCTTGTGCATTCCTGACAAGAGGACTTTCTTCCTAAATTTTCGCAGTGATTAAAATATTCTATTGCAATATTTTGCGACTCTAACTCCAAAAAGGACCCTTGTGATTGCTGATAGGTGAATTTTTTCTACTTTGTTGAAAAATAAAAAAATATAAACCAGAAAAATCAACAAAACCATGCAGATTTTTTAGGAATCTGTAAAAGTAAAGTCCGATGACATCACGTGACATAAGTGACCTTTTTAAAGTCACATGCAGTTTCAAAACATAGATGTGGTTCAATATTTTTTTTCTTGCACCAAACAGCAAGTTTTTTATGTTTGATTACTAGTCATTTAAAGTTATGAGAAAATGGTATTGGTAGAAACATACAAATTATAGTGACACTAAATAAACTCTCTCAAACATTCTTCAGCTTGTTACCAATATCAATTTAAGGTAAGCTGTCATAACTGTCAAAATATTATTCACAGATCATCACCAGTCTGGGGCCACTGGGGTGTTGCATTCATGCATACTGTTGAAAATGACATGAATAATGAAGTAATGTTACTGCTGATAACATTTGAACATACGGCAATTATTACGTTGAGGTCCTCACAACACGACTCTTAAAAATAGTATACTTGCAAATTGAAGAAATAATTTTCCTTGTGTCATCATAAAATGCATTTACGACATTTGTTGGCAGGAATACTGATTGTTAAATTGAAATGTTATGCGAAATCTATATGCAAGCAATTCAATCAATAACAAACAGCCGTGGATATAACACGGACACTAAAAATCCAATATTTTACTGTCTTAGAGGTACAAAAACAATATATAAGTCACGGGTTTGAAAACGCGTTGTAAACCTACTTATGCAACTTGCTTCACAGCATGTTATAACGGGGACCTGAAAAAGGGGGCTTCCCAAGTAACATATCAACTCGTCAAGTATCCACTCTCCTGCCATCTTGCTTGATTAGTAACACAACTCGTAAGGGGCGCACACGAATAAATGTTGTTTTAATTAAAATTGAGGAAAAGTTGCGCATATTATGTTAACATTATAATAACAATTTTGTAAACTCAAATCCTTAAATATTCCGTCAACGTGGTGTGAAGTTAGAATTGAAAGCTTTTCTTAAAAAGATACAAACATTTATATGTCCTTACGGACATCGTGCAATAGTTCTGCAGTGATATTTATTAAAAGGCAATTTTCTTTAAAATGGCACAATTTTTCGTCAGTTTTCTTGTTTGATCATCATTAAGATTTGATTTATTATTTTGCATTTTTTTTACACGACAAACATTTTATTTTTCATTTTCATATTTGTGTGCAGGGTATCCAAGATGGCTGCGTCCTAATCATAATGCCCCTGAGTAGCGGGGAAGTTAACATCGAGTATTTTTTAATTGCACAGAAAAGATGAAAGACAAATGTGATACTTTGGACTTGTGTAACAATCTGCAATTTAAGATAATTAATCACTGTCCGTATTCTTGTAAAGAATTTGTGATTACTCAAAAATTTCATTTTAGAAAATGGTTACAAACTTCGATAATTCTGAACGTGCTTGCATTTGGGATAGGGCTTCATAAGCAGGTATTTAATGTTTTATGCCAGATAGATAAATTTATTTATAGATAGATAGATAGATAGATAGATAGATACAGACGGACAGACAGATAGATAGATAGATAAACTAGATCAAAACTTTTGCAGTAATCCCCCCCCCTACACACACACACCGTGTAACTCTCTAAGACCCCATTCCCAGAGATTAGATCGATCCAACTAGATCGATCTAACTCCCTGGGGGTTCAGCCGAGCAGGCATGACAGTTAATTACCCCCTTACAACTTGTAGTAGGCGGGACGGACATGGATTATCTGACAGTAATCTAGTGAGACTCCCCACGGGGATAGATCGATCTTAAATCTATGGGAATGTGCCCTAACTTTCATGCTAATCAAATTAATTGTGTGATAACTTTGATCAGTGTCTCTGCTATTTAAATAAATGAATTTGGAAATTGACGAACTTACTTTTTATATTTTTTAAAGATAATTAAACCTTCAAGTCCTTTGACCAACGATTACAGCAAATTTTCACCCCAGCAATTATCTCAGCTTTCAAAATATTTGGAAGGCAAAAAGTTTCCTGTAAAAGTGAAACTGCATGTTTTTTAAAATTAGTTGTAAAAGCTAATTTTCACTGGTTATTGTTTTGTTTCAGGATATTGTGATTCTGTTGGTTGCACTAGGATTAGTCCTTGTGATTTTGTTTTTTAAACTACGTGCCAAGGTTGTAAAAGGTATTTATAGTGGTTCATAATTAAATAAGATGTCCTTTCACTATAATAACTGTTAGATAGTAAAAAGGTTGCTTTTATATAAATATATGCATTATGTACTCCTAAATGGTATGCTAACATAAATAATAATGAACATTTTTTTCCTGTTGTTTTTATCTTGTTGAAATTCATAGCATAAACTGAGAGACACATTTGATTTGTTTTCAGAAAGTTTGCTAGTCATGGCTTCTGTTGGTGCCCAAACCACCACAACATATGCACTTGGCAAAAAGTGTTGTCAATTTTATGACTTAACCAGCATACGGGATATTGTTATAAATGAAGGAATCACAATGGTATCAAACAATTCACTTTAACATTAAGTATTTTAAGACCAGTATTTTTATGTAAATGAAGTGCAAGTAGCAAACAGTCATTGTTATAGACTTGACTAGATGTTTTCAAATCTGTGATGTATGCTGTGGTGTATGTCAAAGTTGATAAATTTTCTGTAAAATTGCACTTAATATATGTAAACAAAGTTCTTCAAGAAATATGCTGATAAGTATTTAGAAACAGCATTTTGTTTGTCTTTTCAGCACAGTATTATATTTTATCTAGTACTGCTACTACGTGGAAGTGATGCTCAGACAGATCCACAAATTTTAGTTCCATTGTTTAAGGTATGATCATTCAGAGACATTTCACAATATTTCATATATAATCGATAGGAAGACAAAATTTTACTCCTTATAGCTATTCATAATTGTACAAATGTATTTAAGTATTCTTTGATGAAATAATTTAAAGAAAAACACCTGTTGGTTAAGTTTCAACTCTTTAATGTTACAGAAGTGAATAACTATTTTTAATTGGAATAGTCCCCTTTTCATGTAATTGACATTTTGACCAAATCCTATTGTTAAGTGTCATTCTATTTTATAAATTCATGTTTTGTTTAATCTTTGTATTTTAGCACTCTTGGCCACCATTAAGATTCCTTCAACACATATACAGAGAATCACAGGCTGTCATTTGGAAAAAAAGAAAAACGAAAGACTCCTAGCATTGATTTATGTAATATACAGATTTAAAAATGATATGTCAATGCAAAAAAAAAAAAAAAAGGAGCAAGTGAACTCTGTAATCTCCATGATTACCCCACCATTGGTGGAAAGTGTTACTGTATCTTTTTACAGGCATGTCTAGTGCTCTGTATAGTGCCAAGAGCTAAATCCAAATGAAAAAACAGACATTGTGGATGAATCAAGATGATTGTACTTATATTCATCTTACTTTTTATATATATACATTATTTGAACATGAGGGAATCCGTGGATGCTTTTACATAAGAAGCTGGGGTGCATTGTTTTTAACATCAGTCCATACATTGGCCCATGGCCAAACCTTGTCTGGCCAATAAATAAAAGACAATGTGGTCTACGGTTGTCATATTTGGTAGGTTTGGCGTCACATATAGATGACCCCTTTTGATTTTAAAGTCAGTAGGTTGAAAGTCAAGGTCATATTGACCTACAAAAGAAAAATTTTGTTTGGCCAATTAATAGAGAATGGTTTGTCCTACGGTCCTCTTATTTGATGAAAATGTTTGTCATTACATGTAGATGAACCCTGTTGATATTGAGGCCAAAGGTCAAGGTAACATTGACATTGAACACAAAAACCATGTCTGACCAGTAAACTGGGTATGTGTGTATTTTGCAGTTACCTTTTGTTAAGCCATGTGCCAACAGTGGCATTATAACGCAAAAAAGTACAAGTTTTGCATACTAGCATTATAATTATCTCATATTTGGTTAATCCTAGCCAAGCTTTCACTTTTACTTAATTAATTTACTTGACGAGATACTGTACTTATTTCTGTTTTTATTTTATTATAATATGAAGAAAGTATTTGATTTAAACTTGAACGCGCTTGTTTTTAATGTCTTATGTAACTGTTACTGTAACAGTATAAATTTTACCAAATGTATATTGTGCAGCATCTGTAATCCTGTAGTAATGTAGATATTATTTCATGATTGTGCTACTTTATAATGATATGGACATGTAGTGTAACAAATGCAAGTGAAATATGTATTTGTAATCCTTTACTGAAACAGTCTTGTCGTTATACTTACAAATAAAATGGAACTTATATAATGTATTTATTGGGATTAATTTGATTTTTAATTTTTTTAAATGATCATGTGTTTTGTCGTGCCCGAATTAAAAAGCATATTCAGGTGACCTTGACATTGGCTCGTCTTGCAAGTAACCGCTCTCCCACAAAGGAGTTCCGAAACCCATACTGAATGTTTACTCGGCGTTAGGGACTGGACGATCTCTTGTTGTGTCTGGAATAAATACATTTTTCTATTTATGTGATACAGTTGAAAGTTAAAATAAAAGGATGTCTTTGAAAGCGGAAGTGCCAGGCATTCGACTTGCCATCGATCATCTACAAGAATTAGGTATTTATGATGTTTTCCCGCTCGCTTATACTGACATGATCACTTCGTTTTTCAACTTCTGGAAACGGAAATGTAAAAGAGCATTAATCGTTATTTAGGGGTTTAATAAGTTGAAATTAAGTAATCATGTCCCATCCAAACAAATTTGCTTAATTCCGAATATCTTATTAGATTTATTGTGCGATCATTTTATCACATATTTTAGCAAGATATTAGAAACGAAACGTAACCAAGAGTATTTTAATTTTTTGGCTTAGCTATGCCGTTTGACTTATCTGTACTTTTTTATATCAATTGAAAAGGAGAAAGGATGCAGAACGAAGACTATGGTTTCAAAGAAAATGACGTAGAAAATATTGACAGCATAATTGAAGCTCTTGGTGAATTGGTAAGTCTAGTGTGATCATTTTTGTATATATCAGACTTATGAATCTTACCTTATTTATCATTCAGATACCTGAAGTTATCAGGTAGGAAGTGCAGAGAAGGCATTCACATATAGATTCAGCTTTTCTAGGAAAAGGAAAATAGATAAATTTTAGAACTAAGAATAAAAGATTATTAATCATGGTTTTGTTAGTTAAATAATCCTATGGGTACAGGTTTAAAATGTTGCCAGCCATTAAAAAGTTTGTCTTTTAATTTGTAAAATGTAAATATCTGAACTTAATTAAGACTTTCTTGTTATTATATCCAACAGGAAGCTGAGAGAGACAAATTGCATGAATTGCTTGAAATAGAAACAATCCAGGCCAGTGTTTTACGCCATAAACTACAGGTTTACCCAGGGAAGATAAAGGGAGAAATTGAAGGTAAGGTACATATGTGTTGTAAAAGTATACATTTATCTTTATTGTGCAGTAAAGATGGAAATCATAATTTAGGTAAAATGAACCCTCTTTTGTATAGAAAATTTGATAAATCTTATTGTTTCATAGCTTTTAGTTTCATGTATTAACTCTCTTGTTTACTTTTTCTGATATGCACTGTATGTGTTACAATAAGTTAGCACAAAGTTTCACACCCTAGCTCTCCTACTACATTTTCTGACATGGATTGAATGTGCCAAACTCATAGGAGTGCTACTACATGAAACTTTGTGTTCAGTGGTGCACTACTTGCAGATGCCATAGACCTGTAGTCAGTCCAGTTCATGGGTTAGAAAGAACATCACTTTTGGTCAGATGAAATCATCTCTGAATCAAAATTTAATCAAGGTTCTATGCCATCTTTCAAGTAGTTCAACTACGGGGTTTAAAAAGTAAATATGTTCAGAAAAAGATACCTTTTGAAATTACCGAGAACAGGTCTGTGCTTTATTAAAGGACTTTCATGTTCTTTTCAGCTGCTGTGAAATCTGCTCGCCAGTCTAATGCAGATGAAGTGCAACGGCTCCAGAGCCAGCTGGAGAAGGTCACCAAGAATATTGAGTTTCTGGAGTTAAAACTGCAAGAGTTAGAAGAGGAAAATGCAAAGCTTTTGTGAGACTCAGAGTTGTTTTAAAACCTCTTTGTTTTATCTAAAAAATAAATTGTAACTGACAGTGTCTTTTACAAAAAAAAAAAAAATAATAATAATAAAAAAATAGTGTTGAATCTTGGTATTGTTTTAAGGTGCTAACCCCATTGAATTAAATCTGGACAGTTGATTTTAAACCTTGTCAAATTTCAACAAATATAATATATACCATCTTCAGAAAAGTCTTTTGATTTTAACTTTTTAATTAATTTTTCAGACCTGAGAGAGATGGTATGCGCAAAAAACACGAGGAAATTATTGCAACACTGAATGTCAGACTAGCAGAAAAAGCAACGTAAGTGACAGGATGCATTGTTCCTGAATACTGGAGTGGTTATAACTCTGAGTTTATCTGTTTTTAGAAGATATCATTATTGCTGAATGCATAACACAGCTATTGAAATTTTTTGCTCAGTGCAAGAAAATGTTTAAATTTAAAATTTAATCATTGATGTGATCAATTACTGCCTTTTTTTTTTTGCCAGAAACCAGATATCTTTAAATGAAACCAGAGACCAACTTCGAGCAACAAATCAGAATGTAAGTCTGACCAGAAAAGGAGAGCAAAATATGTTCAGATTTAGTGTTCTTAATAAATGAAGAGAAATTGAGAGTAGTCCCTTCCAACAGCATTTATCAAGATATCAAAAACACATCTATCACTTTTTTTCCCCATGTTGCTGTTCATAGATCTTAGGACTTATTCTCATATGTAGACACAATGCATCATGAGTCATACAAACCTTTCTTTATATATGCCAAAAAAATCTTGTCAAAGTTATTTAAAAGGAAAAAGCACAGATTTGTTCAAAAACTTTATTTCCCATGAGCATCATATTTGTTGGCGGTTATGTTTCAAGATTAATTCTGGAATTGAAATGTTAAAGTCCTTATGATGGTACAAAAGGAAAAAGAACTGATATCCAACCATTCTGGTCTACATGTATAACAACACAATTATATAAATAGAAATTTCATTGTGTTGTTTTTTGGTTACTATTTCAGATTGTTAATCTTGAAGAAAATATTCTTATTCTTAAAGAAGATATGATCCAGGAAAGGGCAGATGCCAGGATGGAAAAGAAACGTTTGAAAAAAGCTGTGGTGAGTTATTCTGGACATGTCATGTAATGATTGATAGGTACTGTTTGTTTCTTTTCATGTTTCACAGATTAGTTTGTAGAATAATGTTTAGATGCATTCTCAATTTCAATATCATTGTGTAATGTTGAATGGTTTAATGAATGTATGCTTTTTATCATAATTCTTAGAGTCTGCTTACAAACACTTAATATGATATTATTTTTCTTCAGTATGACACAACCATGAAGGTCAGAGAACAAAGAGATGCTAACATAGTGAAGAAAAAGTAAGTTCTTTTTTTCAGTGGAGGATAGTTGTGATTTCAGAAAATAAATAAAAATGTGTCCAAATTACATGAATGTTTTTTTTTTTTTGTTTTATGTTATATTTTTTTGCAATTTTGACAGATAAGTCAGATAATTGTCATATTGTATATTTTAACAAAATTTTGTACTCAAGCAAACACTCATTCCATTTAATCCACCAAGTACACATGCTGATATCATCTGATTGATATATTTTTTAGGGAACTGGATGCTTTGTTAGAAAAATTAGCTGAAAGTGAGGGTCAATTAGACATGATTAGAAAGGTAAGTTTGCTAGTATTTCTCTCTCATACCCCCCCCCCCCCAAAAAAAATGACTAAGAAATACCTCAGATATATATAAGTGGAACACATGAAGAATAAGTGTTTTGTATTTATTTCAGAGTATAAGAAGATATGATACTTCTCGTGCTAAACTAGAAGGACAAGAGAGGGCTTTAATGGCACAACTGAACAGAGAAATAAAGCAAAATCAAGAGCTAAAGCAGAAAAGGTTTGAAATTTTTTACTAAAAAGGTGCATTTTGTTTATGAATGTATCTGGGAAACTAATTCCTGTACCACTCACATAAGCACGCTGAAAACATGACTTGACAATAATAATTGTGCATGATATTACTTAAAATTGTATGTTTTATATTAACTATGAATTTGAAATCTTGCAGAATTGAAATTGAAGAAGAGAGTAACAGACAGCAAAAAGAGTTTGAAGAAAGCAAAGCTGCACTTGAAGGAAAATTGGAAGAGGTTGGTGTTCCTGAGCTGTCAAAAATACAGTTTTATGTCTCCAGATACTCCAGCATACTTATTATGCATGGTAGTGAAATACAGTGTGAATTTAGACAAAAAAATTGAATTAAAGAAATGAATTAATCAGGTCCCAAAGTGTTGAATACATTGTGCCAAGTTATTATGATTGCTAATATACATTTCAGTTTTAATCTGAAAACTATTTCTGATGTAAATAGTATATTTTTATGATTTTTTACATACCCAAATGAAGATTTGTAGATAAATTTCAAGAGAAATAAGTGAATAATACTCTTGTTTACAGCTTGAAGTTGAAATTCAGAAACAGAGCAAGAAGTTTGAAAGACTAGATGGACAGAAAATGATATTGGAAATGGGTAAGTATTGGGCATCATTAAGCATGATCCTGTTCACTATGGACGTCATCAAGTAGTTTGACTCTGCATTGTAGACTATTACCAATTTTTTTATAAATTGATATGTCAATACTAACATGCATTTTTTACTTTCGTATTCAGCTTTTTCTGTTTGATGATATGCACAGTTTATAGAAGATGTGAACCTGAAAAATCACACTCATTTATGTATTTTCTCTTGCTTAAAGATGTTGAAGATGCAATGGAACAAAGAAGAAAAGATGCTCAAAATGTTGAAGAAATCAATGGCATGTAAGTTCTTTGAAACCATTTGGTATGAAATCAGGATAACACAGATAAATTTGAAAAAATACTGAGTAATTGGCAGGATACCAGCTGCCCCCCCATCTATAACCAGGGGCATTCTGCCAATTACTACTGAGTGAGAATCATTCGCAGGTCAACCAACACCCAGTGACCTGTACAGTAGGCATTCAGCCTGATGATACTTTTGAGACAAGAGCAAAACGTAACTGTTTCATAAATATTTTGTTCCAAAGTAAGTGATTATTATCACTAAAACATTATAATACATAGACATGTTTTGATTACAGTTTGCAGGCTGCTAAGATAACACTGGCCAAGAAGGCAGAGGAAACAGGCCGTCTTACAAACGAAAATGTGTATATGGAAGAAGCTATTGTAAAACTCAAGGAAACCCATGAGTATGTCTACCAGATCTACTAGATATCATGAAATGCAAATTACACTGATATAATTCCTAAAATTATACTGTAAGAAATAATTTATTTATATTTGAAGGTTGGTATTTCTGGTGAAACTATAAAGATTATATTGACAATCAGGAATATTGACTGATACACTGAATCCTTGCTGTAGAATATTAGTACCTAGTCAGACTTTGATTTTTAAAAAAATTCTTCATTTCAGGCTAGTTGTTGCAACATTGAATAAACAGATTGAAGAATACAGAGACCAACTCTCAAAGGAGAGGGCAGAAAGGTAATTTTTTTAGTTAACACATTAACACAAGTGACATTTTTGAAAAACTTACAGTATCACTTTATGACTCTGAGTTGTGTGAATAAATTCATTGGCCATCATCTTAATTTTTT